TTACAAATTGAAAGTGTATAACTATGACTTTTTGAAGAGTTTTTCCAAGTTTATTTTATTTACTTTTTGAGAGAGAGAGAGAAGGAGAGGGGGAGAGAGAGAGACAGAGAGAGACAGAGAGAGAGAGAGAATATATCCCAATCAGGCGCCATGCTGTTGGTGCAGAGCCCAATGGAGGGCTTGAAGTCACAAATGGTGAAATCATAACCTGAACTGAAATCACGAGTCGGCTGCTTAACTGACTGAGCCACTGAGGTGACCCTACAACTATGATCTTTAAATGCTTTTCTATAGCAGTTCACAGGAATTGTGCACAAAATAGAGGCTAACCTATGAAGTGCAGACTATAAAACAAACAAACAAAAAAAAACAAACAAGTTATTTAGGACAGCTTGTGATTGGGAATGTCCAGAGCTATGACTTCTAGGGATCTCTGCTCTGCAATGTGAAGAAGTATTTTGTGAAGCACTTTGCACATACAAAGTGTTCTGTCATTGGAAGCATTAAGGCGCATCACAGCTGATGTTTGGGGAAGCAAGAGAATGCATCTGTGGCTGGAGTGGACTAGTGTTTGCTTGGTGCTGGCTTATTTCAAATAGCATATGCCTGATGCAACTGTCCTATAGTTTATGCTTTGCACAAACTATCCTAATCTCTTCCAGGCCCAGCCAGAGCTCATGTCCCCAAATGTCCCTTATGTCTACATATTCCCTTTGTGGTTGGATTCCTAGATTTAGGCAGCTGGTGTAAGTTCACACTGATACTTAAAAAATGAAGTCCAGAGTCAGAGAGTTGCAGGGTCTAAAGAGAGGTGGGAGAGGAGTGACTTGCCCACCTCATTCTGGACTCGCATGACATAAGGATCACTTCTACCTGCGGGTTCTTCGGATCAGATCACTCTTTCTTAAGAAGGGGCATTTTCTGAATGCAGCTCCTTACCTACTTCCTTTCTACCTTCTTGTATGATCATGCCATAAATCTGGAGACAACTGCTAGTCGTTCAGTGTGCATTCAAGAAGAATCCCTCCTCTTTTGGATTTCATACTCTGTGGCCCTCCAGGGTCCTGGGGACCTAAGTAATTTGTCATATAACCTGGCCCCTCACGTTATAGTCTATTTTATTTAATAAAACAGTAGGGGAAGCCGAAAGCAAATTGAGAAGGCACTCCAATCCTGAGCTGAGAGCATCTGTTATTGGATCTCTGAGTTCCCTTTTATATTTCTCCTCTAAATGCCCACCGTAGCTGAACACACAGGAACAGCAAATCTTTGCAAAGATTCCAGGAGCAACAGGCAATAATGAAATAGAATTAAAGAAGATCTAGACATTAAGTTGAAAACTCTAGGATAAATGAAGAAGACTGATCTATGATAGCTCCAGAAGAACAATATCTAAAGTCTCATCCTGAGGAGAAGTCAGTTTGATGCTGGGCTCCCATTCAGAGGAAGAGCTGGCTGGCCTCCCATTTTATTATGTATTGATTTTATTAGATAGATGATTCTATCATTTTTAATTAAAGAGTATCACGTGACTCAAGAAATGATACACACCTTTAAGTGCCATTGTTCAGGTTAAAGGCTGCCACTTGGAGTTCTATATACATTTTTCAACACCAGCGAAAAGTCATTGTAATGGGATCACAGTGGTGTTACCGTTAGCATCGCTATCAATCCTCCAGCAATTCCCAGAACTAAATAACTAGAATGTTGGGGAAGCAGAAAATATACTCATTTAATTTTTATAAATTATCTAAACCCACTTTCCTGAAATTCATTTATGTCTCTCCTAGATATGCTACATCTACACATTTATAAGAATTAGATCATTGATTTCTTTTTCCTTATGATTCAGTTATCCAATTCAATGACAAACTGTGATGCAGCCTTCAAACTTGTTTCATAAAATAATTATATCTAATTTAATGCCCTTTGAAATGCTACTAGCCCAAGCACTGGGAAAAGCAAAATGTAAGCAAAATGCAATAATCTGTAATAGAGGAGAAAAAATATTTATCCTGATAAAAGCATCTTAATATTGGTGGAATTTAATAAATTGGTGACAGAATAAGAATGGTTATGAGCTTACAGTTATATTAACTTTGACTTTAAAAAGGCTTATAATTGTGGAATTAGTAAGGACCCTTCAGTTAAGAAGAAAACTCCTTGGGGGAGTGTGGGCAAGAAACAAGCTGTCACGGCAACTGCTAATATTTATTTTTGCATTTCCAAACAAATATTAATTATTTGCTTCTCAACATGTTTCTATACCTCTATTAAGTTCCTGAATGGGAGAAACAGGTAGAGCGGTGAGGGGAAATAGCTGTAGACTACGCTAAATTTTAAGGTAGAGAGGAATCAAGGATATAGTTACGACGTTTGTATGACTAGAGACTAGAGGAGTTCAAGAAAAAATATTAAGACATTATGTTCAGATATAAACTAGCAACAAAATAAATGATACAGACAAAAGGACTTTTTTTAAAAGCAATCTCAAAAGAGGCTGCAATGTAAGGAATGACAGAAATTTGGACGGGAGTGTGAACTTGAAAACTTAGTAGATTTATGGCCATAGGGGAAATAAACATAGCAGGATAACAGAGCAAAATTGTGGAATTAAGCATGGAGTGGTATGTCGGGAAGGAATTCTTTGGGAAAACCACCCTGGTTTTTAGGGTTTCCCAATTTCTGTGGCACAAACTGCCCCCCCTACCCCGCCCCAGCCATGGTATGAGGAATACAGAGAAAAAGAGATGATACAGTCAGTGGCTTTGAGAAAAGCCAGCACCAGTCAGCCCTGACACAACATCACATGTGGGGAGAAACGCTTTAAGTCTGTGTCTGAGAACATGGCAGATGGCATTTACAGTCCAGTTAAGCCAGGGTTATCATGAGGCACGTTGGCAGCCATGTTGAAGAGTTGGCTCTCCATTCCTCTGGAATCACTGATGGGGTCTGGCTGAGAGAGAAAGGGGTGAGGAAGATGTGTTTCTTGGAAAGAAGGAGTAGCGAGTAGAATGTCTGATGGAGGCTGAGATTCTGTGCATGGAGCTCATTTAGCCAACTTGAAGTGGGTCTGGGTGAAAAGAAAACAAGAAAGCTAACTGGAACAGTGTAGTAGGACAGGGAACAGAGGTTAGCAAAAGACAGTGAGAAAGGAAAAAGCTGGCATACAGGGAATAATAGAACAAAGCTGGAGTAGCTCCAGTGTTTCTCCAGAGTGGATGGGAACAATGGTGGGGACAAGGAAGAAAGCATATATTTAGGAGATCCAAGTGGTATCCTTAAATGGGATCCATTAGTTGAGGAGAACTGGTGAAAAAACAAGGGAAATGGGACAAAGGTCTGGATTTTGAGTATGTCGCTCTTTTGACAAGATAGAAAATAACAGCCCTAAGAAGAAAGAGAGAGTAAGAGAGACAACAGACTTCAGAAACACACATTGAAATAAGCATGTCCAGAGGAAAAACAGACACTTGGAACAGATAGCTCTCCTGGTGGGATTTTCTCTAGGGAAGAGGAAGAATTTGAACATGCTAAACCTGAACGCCATCAGCTACGAGCTAGAACACCTTGAGCAAGTCACAGTCCTTAACCTCGGACCCCTCAGCCGCAAAATGAGTCTTTAATAAAATACCTATGTGAGACGATGACACGTGGAAAGGCATGCCTGGTCCATCATAAGCCATCGGTAGGTACTAGCTCCCAGCGGGAGTGAGGTAACTGTGGCAGCAATATGCCATCATCCCGTAATTAGCATCAGGGAGATCTTAGGAGACCACAATATTTAACAGAAAAAATCTTTTTAAAGAGGGGCACCTGTCTGGCTCAGTCGGTTGAGCTTCTGACTTTGGCTCAGGTCATGATCTCACGCTCTGTGAGTTCGAGCCCCGTGTCGGGCTCTGTGCTGACAGCTCAGAGCCTGAAGCCTGCTTCGGATTCTGTGTCTCCCGCTCTCTCTGACCCTCCCCCGTTCATGCTCTGTCTCTATCTGTCTGAAAAATAAATAAGCATTAACATTTTTTTTTTAATTTTTAAGGAAAGCGTTCATTAAATAGCAGAGGCTAAACTATAAGCATTCCGATAACTGAACGCTGCCCTACGCGACTTGTAGCCGATGCTGTGAATTTGGACTCATGCTGGAGAGCACGGATTAGAAGCCAGACTTGGGTGAATCTTCAGACGTCACATGCAAACTGTCCCTGGAACCTTTCGAAAACAAAAATTCTGTTTCTTCATCTGTTAAATGAGCGTCCGTGCTTACCGTTCCCATGGCTGTTTTGAGCATTAAATGGTATGATCCAAGTACAGCGCTCAGCACGTTTTCTAGCCTCACATCAAGGCCGTAATAAATGTTGGCCACGCTTTTATTTTTGAAACCCTGTGATGAGTTTTTCTCGGGAAAGTCAGAACTTGAGAGTGACAGTAGGCTCTTTCCTAAAGTTAATGGGTCAGTAAAGTAGTGTTATGGAAAAGGTTAAAAATTGCAGGGCGTCAGGAAAGTAATTCTAACCTTGCCCCCAAATCATGCTGCTGAACATTTGGATAGAGTGTGTTCCTTCATGATCAACTTATTTGAAAGGTCTAAGAGTGTTCAAAAAGTCTTTAAAAGGTATAATTTAATTATCAAGTGGTGCCTGTCATTTTTAATGAGAACAAAATGTAAAAAAGGAGCCGTCCAATCAAGAAGGACATCAATGTGCATGGTAAATCTTAGCATGCTATGACAGCAAGTGATAACATTATGCAGAAAGCCATAGAATGTGAGAAACAGAACGAAGAAAAATTCGGATGTTTAAGGAGCACATGTAAATTTCTTATCAGCTTTACAGAGCCCAGTGATGGCTTCCTGGGTTACATGTAACATTGACTTCTAGGAACAGAATAAGCTGGCATGGTAAGACCCAGCAGGACGCGAATTCTTTTTGTCTACTGGAAACTTATTCCATCAGTACCAAAGCCTTAGTCTGGGTTCACGACACATGTGGTCATATGGTACGTACCCCTGCAAAATGGAGCTGGAAAGTCCCAGGAAGCACCATTCCCAGGGCTGACGATGCAGGTCAGAATCGCATGGCCTTCCAAGATATAGCCAGAGAGACAGCTGTACCGGATTTTGTCTCCTATGTTGAATCTTGTGCCGTGGAGAACTCCTTTCAGTATCTCCCCGGGATTTCCACATGTATGGCTGGGTAAAACTATTAAAAGAGAAATAGGAGAAAGGCAGAAAAGTGAGAGATTTTTCTGGAGAGATCAACTTATTGCCCAAAGCCTGCACTGCATTTGAACTATTCAGATTAGCAAAGCTAACGCAAAACCACTTTCATCTTCCCGGAAAAAATAGAGAAAATGTATTCTTTTTTTTAAAAACGTCTGCCATTTAACCCTTTATAAGGGTATTTTAAAAGTATAAATACATGCGGTTTGAGAAGACGCAGAAATACAGTTCTGCGCACAGTGTTGTAGACGATGTCTACATTATTTTTCTAATTATGAGATTCTCCAGTCTCACGGAGTTGGCAGACAGATAACACGGTAGGATATGGACAGCTATCCGAAATACAGCACGGATGAATATTCATGCCATATTTATCTTCACTGCTTTAGGACCAGCACAACCAAATACACATCACTAATCGACGTTAGTTGACATTTTATGGATAAATCACTGAATTAAAGAATAAATGGAAGATTTCATTCGTGAATCTGGTAGGCTTAAAAATGCACCACTTGTATATTCCAACTTATCTGCTAGGTTCATGCATTTATAGTGTCTGATTCACAACGAAGTGTTAGCCATCAGTTTTGACAAATCAAGTATTATATTCATTTGCTTGTAAGAAAGCCTCGATTCCGTTCTTTCTTGACCTGCTCCCTTTTTATGTGGATAGGATACTCTGCCTGAGAATTCAACTGCCTTGAAACCTCATTGATAGGAGACCATTCCATACTCCGAACATAATTTCCAACCTAGGTGATTCACTATTAGGTTACATGGGTGAAGTTGATGACTGTTGGTTATGGTCTATATCTTTCTGGTTTAAATTTCGCATCTGACCAGTAAGTCAGAGCTATCATGATGTAGTGAAATAAACCAAGGAGACTATCACTTAAAAAAGAAATGAGTTCCAAAAAACATTTCCAATAAACCAATTTGATTATTGTATGTGTCTATCCTTCTTTTTTTAACATGGACATTGGAAGTGTATTTTGGTATATATGTATAAATATTGCAATATACTCTGTTTTCTTTGGTTGAAAAATGGAGAAATAAAACTTGCCCAGTGAATGGAGAGGAAATTTAAGTGATTTCCAAAATTATTTCTATTACAAAATTACTTAAATGTGTATAAAATAAGCTTAGAGAAACACTTAGAAAACAACCACTACCACTTGGATATTTAATATTGACATGTTTACGAAATCACTGCCTACATAGTCAAAGGGTTCTCAGTTCTAGTTTTTCAAAAATAGTTTGTGAAACCAGTCTACAGAAACCTCTTTAACACAATAGAAAATAGTTCACTATGATCCACAATATTCTTTGTTGTCTTTTATAAAAAAGAAAGTCTGTATTTAATTCCACATTCACTATCGCTAAGTCAAGGGGTATTTTTAAAATGTTCTTTAAAAAGACTGGCATTTAACTGTCTCTGGCTTTTCTAAGGTAGAAATGATTTCAGTTCATAACTCAGGACGCCTGCCCTCCGACAGAAGCTAGGGATCTGACAGCCAGAGAGAGGCAAGGCAGGGCTGAATTTCTACCATCAATGGAGAGAGAGAGGTAGGGGTGGGGGAACTATGTACATATGAATGCTTTCGGTGTTTTCCTTCCTTGTCCAAGAATATTCAGAATTAACAAATCCTTCCTTGCCTTTTTTTCAAGGGCCTTTATTATGTTCATTAAGTGCTAAGACTTATTAGAAGATATTCACTTTAGATTGTGTCCAGAAAATGGTCTCCCCGAAGGCAAGAATTATCAGTGTAAATCTGTCAAAAAATTTTAACATCAGCTTTTACACGTGACTGCTTTCAGAACTGGAAAAGACAAATGAGCCATTCTGAAAGTTGAATGTGGCCTGTACAACTTTTCTATCCATTTGTCTATTAAAAACAGCAAGAAATCATTTTTAACGATTAGCTTTTGCACAGATAACATAATTGACTTTTGTACAGAAAGACCACAGTAACCAAAGTACAATAGGAAAGAGATCACACGATGTGGCTGCTGCATGAACAAACATCATTCTGTATTATCTGTGTGATACCCATTTACTACATTTAAAGAAATGTGAAATGCCTTATGTAAAACTTGACTGTGCACTGATAATTGCTGGGAAGTGTATAATTGCATGGACTTTGAAATGCTTAAGAGATACAAAAAGAAAAATCATTCCTGAAAATAAGGATCTCCCCAAGCAGACTTCTGAAAAGAAAACATCCATGCCTTAAAACTTTTAACAGGGTCTAATGGAACAGTTGGAAAGAGACAAATGATGAAATTCAGGAAGGAAAGAATTTTGGCCATTCTAGATCATCAAGCTAAGAGAGCTATATTTAATAGGATACAATGCAGATGTTAAAAAGTATTGACTGCCAAAGGAAAAAAATCGCAGTAGGTGGACGATGTATCGTGCCCAGAATGCACATCACATCTCAAATAGCACGGAAGACGTAAGGGCTCTTCCTCAGGTGCGGGGGTCAGGCTTCCAGGGAGAGCAGTGACTATGGTGCCGCTCATGCCCATCAAAGCCCTGTGCAGAGATGGGCATCTCTGCCTCCCCTTCTGTCAACTGTTCCCCAGGCACCTTAGACATCTCCTTTTTCGTTCCTGTCTACAGATTTGCCTTTATTTTAACATCTTGGCAATTGCATTCAAATTCAGAAAACGTTCACCCAACACGTAGTATTTGCACAGCCTTGTTTTCAACCAACACCAAAATGGAACAGGAAGAGAATGGGATTTCAGACTCTTCTTTTGCTCTCTTATTAGCTCTGTGAATCTACCAAAAACGTGCCTTCATCAGTATTTACTTCACGGGGCACAGTGTGAGGACTGAACGAGTCAATGCAGGTCTCAAAATACCCGCTCTGTGTGACTCTACCATTGGGTTACACTGCAACCGACCACCTCCCGTTTAGACCTGGAATTGCCCTCACATCTGTGTCTATATGGTGTCTAGAATAATGTCCAGCTCTCAGCAGGAACTTGCTAAATCTATATTTGCTCAATCAAGTGCTAAATATGAATATGAATGTAGTGTACCTCATGTATTCTTCTAGATCTATGTACAACTAAGAGTCACAGTTTGTAGCCTGACGGAAACAGAAAAAAAGCAAATGAGTTTTCAAGAACCAACTGAATGAGGTGACATTTCAGAAACAATGAATCGGCAACAAATTGTCACTTTAAGCCACTTTTCTCCCGATTTAGCTAAAAATGTAAACAGGATGCAGAGGCTTAAAATGAATTAACATTTTACAAGGCAAAATAACTTAGCAAATGGGAAAAAGTGATTAAAAACTAACTTTTAAGGTTTAAAGTCACTGGTTGGTGGGACAAAATTATAAGTTTATGATTTGGGGAATTTGGGGAATAATTTATGATTTTAGGGAAAAATATTAAAGTTTTAATGTGAACAATTGCAACACGCAAATAGAAAAAGTTGAAGATGAATTCAAATATTAACTTCCAGTTTCAAAGAACACAGCAAAAAATGCACATATTATAAAAACATTTTCAAGTTCATTAAGCCATTATCAAAAACCCTCAACGGTGAAAAAAAAATGGATGAAAATAATTATAGCTCTATGCAAAGATTTAAGACAAAGACATGTAAAACTTGCCAAAGATCCAGGGGCTGGGAAAAACTAATGTAAAATAAACTCAACCCGAATGGCATTTCTGCCAATTTCATTTTAACTAATTTTTTACCCAGTTTCCCTGAAGATCATGAATGTCCCTTTGTGTCTCCCATGGTAATGAGTACACATTAAGTATTTAGTAAATACTTATTGAATTGACTTGAACTCTAATTTTAATTCCCTTAAATCCTCCCTTGCAGTCATTTGCACTCTTTCCCATGGATGCTTTAAGAAAGAAATTCTTATTTGGGTAATGGGAATTCAGTACCCAGTGCATACATTTGGTAATGGGAAAGCGTTTTCTTGAAAGGCGCTCAGGGCACAGTTCCTTCTTCCCATGGCAGACCTCATTCCACCAGATCTCATGAAGCCAAGTTTGTATACCCAGGGCTTGAAACACGGGTTGTCATTCTAATTACCCTCATGGAAATTCCCTCCATAACGCTCTTGATTTGGCAAGTGCATATGGTCACAACTCAGTGACCTCGTTAGGCTATCACGTCAACCTTTAACCCAACTGTTTAAATGATGAAATGGATGTCATATCAAATCCTCCTCCAGAAGAAAAGCGAAAACATGATGCCAAAATAAAGTACAGCATTAATATTCATTATGGATGGCCAAAAGACCAGTGAACAGAAGTCTGAAATTCATCAGAAGAGAGGCAGCATTTTTCACAGCCTGTGCACAACCAATGGAATTTCACTGGGCACGATCATTTGGAAACCAGGTCCCAGAGGGGAAATGTCAGGCTCTTTGTTTACACTTTGCCTTTCCTGGACTCTCACTGCAGCTCAAGGAAATAAAACTTCAAATACCCACCTGACACACAACAGTTGAAATGTAAACTAATGATAAGAGATGCGCTTGTCTGCGGACTGTGTGCTCTGCAACGTCCCCCCTCCCCCCCACCCCCAACCACAAAATTTGGGAAGGGTTAGAAAAATATGGTTATATAATTTTCAGAAACACTTTAAAAATCAGATTTCCAAGTCTTGAAACCTGACATCTATTCTTGGTACAAACTCTCAAAATCATGGGCAGTTTCTGAAACAAGAAGATGGAGAGACCGTAGTTACATGTCTCAAAGATCATGAGGATTTCCTGGTAGGCAGCGACGAATGCTTTCTGCTTCTAAAGTCACGGTCTTCATGGTGGAGGTGAGATACTGCATGAACACCATTACTTTGAAAAGTGACAGAAGCTATAACAGGAGAATTAAAAAAGGGTGTTAGAGTTAGGTATATTTAAAAGTGGTAAGATTTGGCCAAATTAGAGTGGAAAGTTCATCTCTAAACAAGGGAAGTAGTCAAATATGTCTGTAGCAAGGAAA